GTCTTGTGGGCGTCGGATGGCCGGGGCGGGAGGGGGGCCCTCCCTCCTCTGCCTCCGGATCCGCGGTGCTCTGGGCGATCTCGCAGGTGTGCGGTCAGGGACGGACTGGCCATCGCTCGGACGTCCATTTCCTGTGTTTTTTTTCGGTTTCGTGCATGGTTTTTCGCCAAATGATCAAGGATGCTCCTCGATGGTCCTCGCCGAAGGAAGAATGCACACGTCCGAGCGATGCCAAGCGAGAGTTAGGTCGGGCATGTCCCCTTACAGGCGGATTTTGGACGACACATAATTTGAGAACATGCACCAAAAGAGTCAATAGACAAAAAAAATCGTCCCCAGAGTGTGTCTCGACTATTCTTGACTACTCCTCCTGCAGAAGGACATCCCGACTTAAGATGAGAGTGAGGATGCGCGAAAAGGGTAAAAGCCGCTTGGGCGCGCGTTTCGAAGCTTTTCGAGAGGGGCTGGCCATTGAAAGTGGTTGAGGGTGGACCGAAGAGGCAAGGATCCAAGGGGGTCCCCTTGGGAAGTTTGCCCATCCCCATCGTCGGCGTCGCCTGTCTAAGGCGGGCCTTCCCGCCCTCTTTTTCGATCTCTTTTGATGTCGATGTCCGTCCTGCCTTGCCGTCGCTGCCTCTGCCACGCGCTTGCGAAAAATATCCGGCCTGCGTTTCCGATGCGGGGATTCCAGCCGTACGAGTTCGCATCGTCTGGGGTGCATTTCCGATACAGCTTGCAGCAGGGAAAACACGACCAAAGTGCGGCGGATTCGGGATCAGGGTTTGGCAGACCTCCGAGGAGGTGTCTTCTTCGATCTGGGCGCTCGTCTTCGATGTCGGCCTCCGGCGAGCGCTCTCCGGCCGCGGGGCCTCGAACACGGAACCGCGGCGGACCAACGCACACACACACACACGACGACGACGACGACGACGACGACGACGACGACGACGACGACGACGACGACGACGACGACGACGACGACGACGACGAGGTCATCGTCATCGTCATCGCCATCGTCTTCCTCTTTCCCCGTTCTGTGGCTTGCCCTGCGTGGCCTCTCTGTCTCCCCTCTCTTCCGCGCGGGGAAAAATTGTCCCGGGCCCGCCCGGGGAGAGCTGCTTTCGCAGGGCTCCTGGAGCGGGAAGAAGCATATCGTCGGCGGCGCACTTGTGCAGCGGCGTGTCTTGGACAATCTGGAAGGCCTCTTGGTGTTTTTGGGCCGGGGGACGTCCTGCCACCCCCCCCACCCCCACCCTACCCCCTCCCCCAGTCCTCCCTCCTCCTTCAGGGTCCAAATCTGGGGCGTAACTGGAACGAACCACTTCCGCCAACTCGTTTCTGCTTCCGCTCGGCATCGGGGGACCTCTCCACACCCCCCCCCCCCCCTCCCCACCATCCCTACCCCCCTCCCTCCCTCCCTGGAGGGTCCAGATCTGGGGCGAAACTGGAACGAACCACTTCCGCCAACTCGTTTCTGCTTCCGCTCGGCCCCGCCCTCCCGCGCGCCCGCTCTGCGCCGCCTGTTTCGCTCCAGCTGGCCTGCCTCCTCTGGCGCACGGCGGCGTGGCACCGCTCCGGGGCGCCTGCCGTGCGGCAGCCCCCCCCCCCCGATGCTTTGTCACCCTCCTTTGCCCGTGGAGCACCACGGGGTGCCCCGGCGGGAGTCCACCCAGAAGCCTCGGGAGGAAGCAGGGAGGGAGAGGCGAACTCCGCGGGGCACCCGCCAGCAGCAACACCCCCGAGTTCCGTTCACGCCGCAGGTGGTAACTGCGCCTGCTCGCCCTCCCTCCTCCCAGCTCCTTCCTTCCTCCCACTCCGCTTGACTCGGGCCGGGCGAAGGGGGGGGGTAGCAAAGGGGGGGTTTGAGAATCAGCTCACGTAGCTGATTTTCCTGGCGCCTCCCGGCGCCGGAGGCGGCTATGTATCGAGGAATGGGCCCTCGGTGGGGCCGAAACCGGCTGCATGCAGCAGATTCGTAACACCCCCTTTCCCAGTCTCCCCCTTGCGTCCGGCCCGATTGACGCAACCCATATTGTCGGGGCCGGCCGCCCGGCCGGACCGCCTGGCGCGGGCACCTACGTGCTCGCAGGCGGGCCCCCTGGAGCCCCGCCTGCTTCCCGCCCCGCGGCCGAGGGCTTTCCGGTGGACGCCCGACGCTGACGGGGGGGGGGCGGGGCGCCTGGCCTTCGGCCCCGTCCCGCTGCCTGCTCCACAATTGCCGAATCTGAATACTACTCTCCTCTCTCCCTGGTGACGTCCGGGAAAAGTCCGGCCCCCCTCCGCGTACTGGCTCTTTACACGCCAGGCTCCCGGGAGTTGGGCTTTCGCTTGGGTTGTTTCTCAAAAGGCTGCTCTCGCTGAAACGCTGGCCTCCTTTTCGGGCCACCGCTCGTTCCGAATCGTGTTCCCGCTGCAGCGCTGGCGTCATTTCCGCGCTTCCGCTTGTTCAGAATCGTGTTCCAACTGCAGCGCTGGCGTCATTATTTCCAGAGCCATGCCCCCGCCATGGTTTTCGGTCATTCCATATAGGCTCCAAAATCAAGAACATCGCCCCCAGAAAAAGCCATCGGAAGTGATTACACATTCGGTGTCGATTCGTTGACTTTTGGGGACGCAGAAGCCCCCTTACTCTGGGACTTCGCCACACCAAGCTGTGTTAGGCCTGTTAGGCTACGCGTCCTCCGAATCGCGTTCCCGCCGAAGCGCTGGCCTCATTTCTGCGCTTCCGCTTGTTCCGAATCGTGTTCCCGCTGCAGTGCTGGCGTCATTATTTCCAGCGCCATGCCACGGCATGGTTTTCGGTTCTTCCATATAGGCTTCAAAATCTACAAAATTGCCACTCGGAAGAACCATGGGAATGGATTACACATTCGGTGCTTTGAATTTCTGCGCCGCGGAACCACCACCCCAGGGGACCTTCTAAAAAAAACGATCCGGATGGGAAGCGCCGATCCGACTTGACCCCGTGAGGAGTCGAGCGGCCCAGTGTGTGAGCGGATTGTTCCAGGAAGCCAGACCATCGAGCCTGGCAGCCCGCCGTACTATTCCCTGCCTGGAGGGCAAACAATCCCCCCATAAGAACCACCCCGACAAGCGAGGCCGTTTAGCAAACGCACCCAGAGAAGGAATCAAACAGGGCAGGGCTGTTCAATAAACGCCCAGGATCCGTCCTCGCCCGCCGCAGCTTCTCCCGCCGCCGCCGCCGTCGTCTGCGTCGTTGTCGCCGTCGGCAAATTCTGTGCGTTCCCTGGAGCATCCAGACGTCTTCGGGCCATCCGCCACGCCTCGTGCAGAGCTGTCCGGGGAGCCCAGGGAGACTTGGAAGGGGGCTCGGGGAACGCAAGGCAGCGCGTCGAAAGGATGGGGGGGGGCCTTACGCTATTACAGCACCCCTACTAGACGGCACTTGGCATCCGAAAGCGCCCACATCGGGCAAACACAATTGCGCGAGACATGGAGCCGGAATTCCGAACAGGCCTTCTCCTTTCGTATACAGGCCACTCACCCTCCAAGACATCAGGTGCCAAGCTATGGCATGCAATACGATGTTGCGTGGTGCTCTGCTGTGCGATGCCATGCTTTGCGATGTTACGCATTGTGATGCAATGCTACACTACGCAATGCCAAGCCATGCTATGGTATGCTGGCATGCTCTGCCCTGCCGTGCTCTTCTACACTATGCTCTGCCGTGCTTTACCATGCATCGCAAGCCCTCTCGGGATAATTGCCTTGCTCGACATCAGCCTGTGCGCATATAGAAGAGATCTGTGCCATGGTACGGGTTGGGAGGGAGGGGTATGACGACAGATCTGACGCGAGCGCATCTAGCTTGGCTCCCCCTGTTGCTCCTCCCCCCTCCTCCGCCCCCATCCACCTCTCTCCGCTCCTCACTCTGCCGTCCTCGTCCACGCCCTCCCCCTCTGCCGCCCTCGCCCGCGCTGTCGTCGTTGCCATTCGCCGCCTCCGCCGCCAACGGCGCCGCCGCAGTTCCCCGCTCGCTGCTCCCCCCTGATTGCTCGCATCTGAACCCCCTCCGCTAGTTACTCGCATCTGCATCCCCTCCCTTAGTTACTCGCATCCCCGCTCCCTCCCCCCCCCCCCTTGTTACTCGCACCTGCATGCCCTCCCATGCAGATCACGCGCTCTCGGCCTCCACGCGAGGGGGCCCTTGCAGACCCTGCGTCGACTGCCACCGCGAGGCCCCCAGCCTCTGGGCGGCGCCCCTGGCAAGGTCTGCGCCTGCCCTCTCGTGCTGGGGTCGGGGGCGCAAGGAAGCGAGATGCACTCCTCCTCCTCCTCCTCCTCTTCCTCCTCCTCCTCCTCCTCCTCCTCCTCCTCCTCCTCCTCCTCCTCCTCCTCCTCCTCAGGCGCGGCTCTGTTTTTGCACAACTTGGCTGGCTCGCCCTTCTTCAGCAGCGCTGGATCTGTTCCCAGCACCAGTGGGTCCCGGGGCTCCTTTTGATGCTGCCAGCCCGCCGCCCAGAGCAAATATACCCACGGAACCCGACAGAGACCGCACCGCCCGCGCCTGTGGAGGCAATTAGGTCGCCCGCAAGGGAACAATACTACCCGATGGGGATGGAGATTGGTCCATCGATGCTGACTCCTTTGCTTCACCCTTGGGGCGCGCCCAATGATCCCCGCTGGGCCTACATCTGCCGCACTCTGCTGGCGGGCGATGCCTCCACTGGCCCGACTCAGCCCATGTCAGCCAGAGTGGATCAAAGGGCAGCGGCAACACTTCTGAAGGCCCCCAAGAAACCGAAATCATTGGCTCATATTTGGGGAGTGAGGTGGAGACCAGGACCCCCCCAAAACTGGGACCGCAATCATAAACATGGCTTTCGGAGGTTCGCGCGGAATTGTTGGATCTGCGCTGGACCTGCCTCCCTGGCGCGCTGAGCGCGCCAGGGGGGTAACGCAAATCCAATCAATCCGCGCGAAGCTCGGAAAGTCTGCGTTTATGCAGTGGCTTGCTCCTCGATCTAGAAACTGGCCCGTCCTTCGGGCACACATCCGCGCTGTAGGACTGGCCGACGCATCCAGTGAGGGCCATCTCGTAGCCGAGGACCTCCTGGTCGTCCGAGCTAACCTCGTCGAACCCTCGCAGCACGAGGCCTGGAGGTGTGACGATTCTTTCGTCTTGCACCCACATCTCAGAAGCCCGGCAGAGTCAGAAGCACAAGGCACCAACGAGAAGAGGAGGAGGAGGCGGAGGAGGAGGAGGAGGAGGATAAGGGCTACGGCGCGCCGTAGGCGCGCTGCGGAGCCCATATCGAAAGCTGATCGAAAGGAGGAGGAGGAGGAGGAGGAGGAGGAGGGGAGCGAAGGAGGAGAAGGAGCTCAGAAGCGGGCAAGGCTCCCCGAGAGGACGTGCTGGCATCAACGCTTCGAGAAGTGGGATCCTACGCTTGGGAAGCAACCGCAGCGAGGTTTTTTCCGTGTCGACGGGTACAGGTCCTCACCCTTTGCCGAAGGCCGAGGTTGGCTGGGGGAGCCCCACACAAGACACAGACGACCCCACTCGTATGTTAGATGCTCGTTCTGGGGACCTTCCTGGAGCCACTCGCTCCACTCCTGCGCCGATGCTCTTGAGCCGAATTTGAGTCGAACTTGAGCCGGGCTAGTCGAACTCGAGTCGAACCAGGGCTGGACAAATCCGTCAGGTGGGCTCCAGGAGGATCCCCCAAACGAGCATCTAAAGAAGGGGTCGCTGGATCCTCCGGGCCGACGCAGGCCCCCCAAGCAGGCCGGGGCGGTCGCAGCACCCTGGCGCAACCTCTGGCGGCGCCCTGGGACGCTCCCAGGCAGCTACAGTCGGGGCGTTGACCTAAGGAACCCCAAATTAGGAACGATGCCCCTTTTTCCATAAGTTGAACTTCGATTTCCCATCGAAAACAGAAGGAAGACTTGAGGCAAGCTGTGAAACAATTAAGGAACACGGAGCCCCTTCCCAACGAAAAGGGTTCCTTCTTCAGGGACCCGACTTTACCGATACGATTCGTTTCCATCCGCGGCCCCACAGGCCCGACAGCCTTCCCTGGGCGGATGTTCCTCCCAGGATCCGTTTCCGCTGGCCCCCGAGCCCGATGATGGCCCCCGAGGGTCGAAAGCCAGGAGTGAAAAGCGCCTGCTGAAGACATCGTACCGCGCCAGAGATCCTGTTTTTGGACGCCCGAGAAAAAGCTGAGAAACCGAGGTGGCAGGATGCCCAACAACAACAGGTGTTGTCCAATGCCGACAGCGGGTCCTGCTCACAAGGAGCAGGAGGTGCTGTTAGGGGGCCACGTGCGAACCCTGCCCCTACCCCCCACGATTCCTGAGGGGGAGGGTGGGGTTCGCTTTGTTCGGGAGTTCCTGAGCGAAGTGAGCCCCACCCTCCCCCTCAGAAATCGTGGGGGGTAGGGGCAGGGTTCGCATGTGGCCCCCCTAGCCGTCGGTCTTCGTGCTCACTGTTTCTGGACCTGTCTCGATCGTACGGTCTGGGGAGCTGGGGCGTTGAGACCCCGAGGGGCTGTTTCGAGGGGCCCTCACGTGCAGTCCGGGCCCATCAGCTTGCAGCCAACAGAAGCGCACGCCACTGCCCAGGCAGGGCCAGTCGAGGCCTGCAGCTGCGACTGAAAAAGCCGAAAGAGAGGTCGGCCCTCGACCCGGTTGCCCACCAACGACATATGCTTGGCACACGCCCTCGGAGGAGCGGTCGCGTCTCCGTGGTCATTCTCCTACAGTAGGCCACACGCAGCATGTCCTGATCGCCCTAGATGCCTCACGTACACGTTTAGGTAGCGAAGGCCACCGTCTGTATGTGCATGAACGATTGCCAGCTCAACCTTACCTAGAGCAATCCACCCAGGAATCTCGTCCTCGTCTAGCAATGCGACGACATGACGGCCTCCAACCCGTTTCGCCTCTGCCCAAGTCCCTGTTACGTTCAAGCTCTTGGAAGTACATGTCCGCGCCACTCCCTCCAAGTCGGCGCGCATTGGCATGGACGCGAAGCAGTGCGCTTTCAGCGCTCAGAGCATGCTTGCTCGCCTTCATCAACTCAAACCAATTGCCTGGAGGGCCTGTTGGGACCATCCGGGACTCCCTGTATAGAGTGGCAGACAGCCGCTGTCTACGCGCAGCCCAGAGCCTTACTGCGCAAGGCGGCCCTGACTTGGCCTCGTGGGGCCCACAGAGGCACCAGAACATTCCACACCACACAGCAGGTACATCAGAAGCCTCCCAGATGGGGTCAGAGTAGGTGGGGTCGGAGGATCGCGCCGTATGGTCGGTACATCACCGATGCATCGGCAATTCATGCGTGACTTCAGCGGTGCATCGGCGCCGTCGGAGTGGAGAACATCGGGCTTCACATCGAGCCGTATCACCGATACATCGGCGATGCGGCGCGATCCTCCGACCCCATCTGCTCGGACCCCATCTGGGAGGTCGAAATACATGCGATTCTCAAGCTTGCTATTAGACATATGTTTGTTAAAATGCTGTGTTGTCATGTTCAGCTGTCACTGTGCGCCAACGCTGAAAAACGAGACACTGTGTGAACGGGGGAGGCCCTCGGTTAGCGAATTTAAATGCTCTCGGACCTACCGCTCGTTAGACCTGAGCTCGCACACGCTTCATTCCGCGTGCCGTGCCGCCTTTGCCTCCAAAAGTTCCCAAGCCATCCCCATATGGCCTTCCCCCGTGGCGATGCCCAGGACGCGTGCGCGACTCCCGTCGGCTGCCAACCCGAGGGGGGGGGGGGGGGCGGACCTTCTCAGAGGGCTTGAAAAGTCCTCCGGCCTGGTGAAAGAGTTTCCTGAGCCTCCCCCGACCGGGCGCAGAAAAAGCTCCTCAGAAGGCTTCGCAGGGCTTCTGAGAACCCCCGCCGCCCGCCCTCCGAGAAGGCCTCCCCCTTCTCGCTCTACCGGGTAGAGCGAGACATGGAGCGAGAAGGCCTCCCCTTCTCTCGCTCTACCTCTCCAAATACATGAACAAATGCAAACAAAAATTGCCGAGGCCCTGGTTTTGTTCCCTGGTGAGCGCAACACCGGCTCTGCCCCCTCGCTCCCCGCCGAGCCACAGGTGCAGAGCCCAGGCACGCAGAGCACCGGGCAGGCTACCCTTCCCGAGCCGCGCCAGCTGCCGCCTCGCCTCGCCGGTGCCACGCCCTCGGCGCGCGCCGCGGGAGCTCGCCGCCTCGGCGCCGGGAGAGCACGGCCTCCAGGGCTGTGCTCTCCCGGCGCCGAGGAGTTCCCATACTGTCCTCGCGACACGTCAAAGCGATTCATAATTAGGTGAAGGCACGGCCGCAAGGGACAAGTTCAGGCGACGGCGGGAATGACTAAGCGAAGCGCAGAAAATAATAGTTAATTGTTAGGAAAGCGAAAGCGAAGCTCCCCCAAAAAAGTTAATAGTTAAGAAAGCGAAATCGAAAGCGAACCGCTCGGAAAAAGTTGACAGTTTCGCTTTGAGGTGTCGCGGGGACAGTAAGTTAAACTTCGATCTCCCATGGAAGACCTCAGGAAGCCCTGAGGCCAACAGTGAAACCATCAAGGAACACCGAGCCCCTCCAGCGGCTCCCCGGGCCGCAGTCCGCCCCGTCCTTGGCCAGGACAGGGCGGACAGCGGCCCGGCCAAGCCGCGCGGGCTGGCCCGCAGAGGCTGCGAGGCTGCAGGGGCCGAGCCGCTCGGTCGACGTAGCGGTTCCCGGTCTTCGGAGCGGCGTGCAGCAGAGAAGTGTAGAGCGGCAGGCGCCGCCGTGGTGCGCCAGCGCGGACCTGCGCAGAGTTTTTGCCCGGATCGAGTGCGGCCCTATCTTTGACGCTCTCCAGCGCCAGGGCATGGACGCAGGTTACACCACCCTGTTGGCGAGGTTTTGTCCTGGCACAAAATCTCACGAACACCGTCATGTCCTCACAGGCCAGAACGTATCCTTACGACTGCGGCTGAAGCTGGTCCAAACTGTCATCACACCCTCGCTGCTGTTCGGATTATCTCGGCCGCGGCTTCGACCAAGCACCAAATGCAATCTCTGGACGTCCTTCAAAACAACATGTGTTGTTTGATTGTTGGTTGGAGGCGTTGCGAAGGCGAGGATTGGGCAGACACCATGCGATGCTTGCAAGACAGGACTGCCCATGCAATGCAAATTCGTCCGATTGAAGTATGGGGCGAACCGGTTTGTCGCCGCTTGTTTAGATTTGCGTGCCAGTCAGCATTTTCGGACACCGAATGGGCCCAGAAAGTCATGGTGTGGAGACCGCGCTGCACGCATGGGGCTACGAGGGCGCGCGAACGCCCTCCGACGATATGGAAGACCGCCTTCAAGGATTCGCCCGTGATGTTTTGCATACTGCATCTCGCTGGCATGACACTGTACACGAACATGATGAAGACGCATTTGTTGAGTATTGCATTCACGCGTGAGGACCGCCCCCGTTCTCCTCCTCCCCCCACCTCCCCCTCGGAGGCACAACGCTTGCTCGCCGCACTCGGCGCGAAGGTAGTCCAGGCAGCGAGCTCCTGAGCAAACTGCGACGCCAAGCTGGCAGCGATGTTGCCTTAGACTTGCCGCCGATTCAGAATGACCCCATGGGACGACAACAATTTGACAGATACGAGGGGCCACCGTAATACTACATAGGCTCCTCCTCCTCCTCCTCCTCCTCTTCCTCCTCTCCCTCATCCCGTTCCTCCTCGCATTTGTCCCTCCATGCCATCCGTCTCTTCCTGACGCCTCCCTGGCCCCCACAGATTTGCCCTCCTCCTTGGGCCTGCGCTCATCTGCGCCATGCACAGCAGGCGCATCTTAGCGACCCCCGCGTCGCCAGTTGGCAGCGGCCCCGGCGAAGGCGTGTTCTCGCGCCATCTCATTTTGAGATACTCCTCGACCACCTGCGCTTGCGTCTCGCCATCCTGCTTCTGCTCCTGCTCCTGCTGCTGCCGCTCCACTCCACTTCCTCCTGACAGTCCTCCTGCTGATTTCCTCCCCTCACATCGTCCTCCTCCTCCGCGTCCACCTCTCCTCGTCCCCCAACTCACCTTCGCCTCCCTCATCGCTCCTCCTGCTTCTCCTCCTCCTGCTGCTGCTCCTCCTCCTCCTCCTCCCCCATTCTTTTTCCTTCTCAGTAAGTGATCCCTGTCGCACCCGAGGCCAATTTTTTGGGCGTTTCATTTGTATGACCCTGACGCTTAAAAATATTCAACGCTGTCACAGATAGATGGAGGGCGGGTCGGTTTCAACATGTGGCTCTCAGCGCCGCGTGAATATTTGCAAACATTTGCAAGAATTTCACGGGTTATCAAGGGTTGTAGGCGGGTGTTCTTCAACATATGGCTCGCGCATTAGCGCCGCGCACACTTGTCATAAACATTTGCTGCAAGAGCTTCACAGATTGAGGGAGGGTCGTTTTCAAACTGTGGCTCTGGCTTTAGCGCCGCGCACATTCGGTTTCACGGGTTGAAGACGGGCCGATTTCAACATGGTGTTCTGCCTAAGCGCCGCGCACATTCGTGTTTACAGAAATGGCAAGAATTACAAGGACTGAAAAAGGGGGGTTTTCAAACAATGGTTCTGGCCTTAGCGCCGGGTGTACTCGTTATCAACATTTGCAAGAGTTTTGCGGATTTAGTGCGGTTCCTTTTAGCAATCTGGCTCTCTCCTCAACGCCGCGCATTCTCGTTTTACAATTGCAAGAACTTCACGGGTTCCCATGGCCGACGTATCAGACATTGTATTGTGGAAGGATTCAAGGTTATGGGGGTGCAACAATTACGTTGATTCGCGGTGTCGAAATCCCAGAAATGGCTTTATGGCACCATTCAGGATCGTCAAGACGCCACAGTCAGGTTGATCCGTGGCATTGGATTCCCGAAGACAATGCTTTGGCATGCTTCAGGGTCTTAAAACGGTTGTCTTCCAACGAGGCGATTCCCTCAGTGGACATGAACCGTTGTAGGGGCCTGTGAAGATGGGACTTGGGTGGATGGTGTACTCCAACACCGTTGATGACTCTTGGGTTTGCACTGGTCCTCCTCCTCCTCCTCCTCCTCCTCCTCCTCTTCCTCCTCCTCCTCCTCCTCCCTCTCCTGTTTCTCATGGTTCCGCTTCGCGCTCGCTCATGATCCAGCCCATGCCCCACGTGTTGTTACTACGCCTGATCTTGCGCTGGCCCTTGCTTCTGATAATGCCGTTCGTCCTTGTCAACGTCCTCATCCTACGTATCCTGCTCCTCCTACAACAACACGTCCTGCTGTTGCGGCTGCTGGCCGTCGGGTGTCGCATCTTCGCCCTCATCCAACCGTTCCTCGTCCCTCATAATCATCCTGCTCGTTCTGCTATCGCAGCTCCACAGTTCTCACCCTCGCCTACCTCCTGCTCATACAATATCACCGCCAACGCCTACATAACCGACAAACATCCCCTTCAACCTCCTAGCTGATCCTCGCCCGTCACATCGTCCTAACAAATTACATAGATATGTACGTTCTTTTGGGGCAGAGGCGGAGAAGCCATCTATATGACGCCCGAGAATGCAGCATAGCTCAAACAATGTAGAAGCGAGCTGTGCTGGAGACGTAAAAAACCAACACGTCTGGCCAGCACCTCCCAAATTATTGTATGGGGAATTGGCGAAGCAAAGCTGAGATGGGCGAAGCTTGTTCGGCGAAGATGAAAAAGAAGCTGGGGGCTGTAGGTGATGGGCATTGGATCCAGAACGAACTAGGGTCCAAATGCTGACGGGCAGACACAAATCATCCGCTATCGCCAAAATCATGCACACCACGACCGAGCGCATCTCCGATCATTAGACCCCTGGTGGCGGCCTCCCTGGGACGCTGGACCTCCTCCAGGTCCAGCCGCAAAACCACCCCCACGTTCGCAGCATGCACGTACGTAGCCAAATCCATACCCTTGCTGCTGAAGACTGCGTTGCTGGAGTGGTTCCCTAAGGCGCTCCCAGGGCTCGCCCCCGGCACCGGGCTGACGGCGTTCTGCGCGGCCCGCCGTGCGAAGGACGAGCTTCTCACAGGAATCCCACTGGTAAAACATTGGGGCACGGAGAGAACTCGCTCGGGGCGACCGGAGCCCCCCCCCGCGCGCTGCCCCTCCCCGCCCCGGCGCCCCAGCTTCAATTGGAGGGAGGCCATGCAAATCGCGCAGAGGCCCGTCGATCCCAAGCCTATGAAAACAGTTTGCTCCGCCACCCGCGCCTCTGGGCCCGGAGCGGGCGCGCCCCCAGGTCTCTGCCCAATCCCCGAGGCCTCGGCCCTCGCCCCTGAGGAGCCTTCGAGAGGCCGGGACCCCGCATTCAGAAACTTGGCGGAACTGGCCGCCGTTTCCCCGGGGGCCCCCCCGCGGCGCCCCGCGCGAATTCGCCGGCCCGGGGGGGAGGCCCCAAGAGGCCCCCAAACCGCTCCCAAGAAACCTCCAAACTGCCTCCAAGAAGCACCCGAAAGGCCGCCCGCGAGATCCCAACGAACACCCAATATTAAGGTTCACGCCCACAGCCCGCGCAAGGTGGCGGGATGGGCCGAAGGCCATTCGATACATCCTTTCTTGATGCGCGCAGGTCGTCGACGGGCCCCACATCAATGCCCGAACACAAACAGGACGGTTCAACGTGAGACCCTGGGGGATGAAATGTGCGCTTGTTGCTCTAGCGTGCGCGACCCACCTGAGAATGTCAGCCGTCAGGGCGCACTCCGCCCCGCGCTGCCGATGCCAGGCGAGGTTCGCCCGCCCGTGCAGCTCGTTCGCCGAATCGGCACAGACCCAACTGCCCCTCGGAGCCGAGACTCCATGCGAGGCTTCACTGGCACTCCGAGCCTCCGCTCGCCCTCATCGCAGAGTTGATCGAATGGCAACCGCTCGAGCACGACGCGCCCTCGTCCGCCCAGCGCCTCGGCCACCGCAGGGCAGTCGGCCGCGCTGGCGGGAAGCGGCGCGGGCTCGGTCACGAGCGGGCGAGCCGGGCCTCTCGACCGAGCCGCAGCTGGCCCCGTGCCGACAAAGCGGGCAAGCCGCTCTTCTTCTGTTGGCACCGCCAGAGCGCTCTCGGCGCTGTGCGACGCGAGGAAGGCCACGTCCGCGCGGACGCCCGCATTCACCTCGTTGCCGTCGAAAGCATCAGCAGGCGGAGCTGGCCCGGCCATCCAGTAGAGCGCGCCGCGCGCCTCCCCCACCACTTTTCCGTTGCCCCCGACGAGCTCGCACCCGCCACTCCGGGGCGGGAGCTCAATTTCTGTAAGCGAAGAGAGGAACATAAGCCAAATGCCCCAGCTGGCACAGCCGCCCTCCTATCGTCAGGTCCGCGACTGAAAGCAAGAGCACAACGTGACACTCGTTTTGTCTGTCGCCCTGGCTATTGGGGGGGCGGAGGGCGGGCGCGGCCTCCGCCCCTCCCGCGGTTACTCCCTGCTGCCGCAAGACTTGCCTCCGCGAGGCCTGTGAAACTCCCGCGCCTCATCGCGCTGCTTGTCGACCTCGGCTTCGCCCGTCAGCCCGGCGACCGCGCGGCTCTGCGGGGCGGGCGCGACGCCGCGCGCGCGACGCCCCAATCCCATGAAGCGTTTGGGCCCTTCCTTCTCACGCGGCGGCCCCACCGCTGGAGCTCGCATCCATGAAGGGCTTGACCCTCCTGCCCACCAGCCCCGCGCGCGACGCGTGGCCCGACATCAACATGTCCACGCTGCTGGCAAACTCCATCACGTTGGGCAGAGCCTCCAGCTCGTAGGCGCCCCGACCGTCATCGGCCATTTTCATGCCCCGCGCGACCCTGTTGAAGAAGGCGGTCGGGCTGCCGCCATTGAACATCATACGTCGGCGCATCCGCGCCGCCGCCCGAGGCCCGAGAAGGGGTCAGTCGGCGAAGGGCCCCCCACTCAAGCACTCAACCGCGCAGTCCCATGGGCGATGGCGTTCGCCCGCGCTGCCCCAAATTAGCGACAGGGCGCGGGAATCGCCCTTCGCGCGCTGGTCGGCCCCTTTCATGCCGAGCGCCTTCCTGTGGATCCTCTTGGGTTCCGTCTCTGTCTCACTCATCAGCAGCAGGCCCCCTGCCGGCATGCGGCGCCGCCGCCGCGCCCCCGCGCGCGACGCGGGCCGGCGACGAAAAGAAGCGGGTCTTAACCGCGAAACGAGATGGCGACTGCATGCAATTGCTGACGCGGGCCGCCAGCGCGGCGCGCCGCGCGGGAAGCGAGGGCGCGCGCGCGCGCGACCTCGCGCGGGGCGCCTGCGCGCCAGCGCTGGCAAAAACGACCCCGAACTTCTGCGTCGCTGACTTGACGAACCGCTCCACCCAGACACCCAACTGCGCAATTTTGTTCCACGCGTGGGCCCCAGAGGTCAGGGCCACTTGCGTCTCTAGGGCCAGTTCTTCACCCCTAACCGTTTTCTGACGCCCCCGACGCCCAGCGGGGGCCCCTGGGAGCCGAAAGCGGCCGAAAACCGCCCGCTCCAGTCTGTTTGGAGCCTCGGATCTCGAGGGGCGCCGTTGCGCACCTCGGCCGCCGCGTCGACCACTGGCGGCCGCCCCGCCGCCGCGCCTGCCGCGGCCGCCGCTGGAGAGCGGCAGCGCCGGGCGCCGGCGCCGCGCCGCCCGGGCCCGCCCCCGAGCCCGGCGGGCCCACCAGGCCGAGGTCGAGCGGCGGAGGGGCTGGGGCCGGGGGCGCCCAACGGGGGGGGCATCCAAGAGAGGGGGGGGGTCGCAATGTGTTCTTGCCGTTGCTCCTCTTTCCTCCTCCTCCCCCCCCCCGCCGCGTGGCCGCCCGCGGACCGTCGCGGCGGATGCCCAGTGCTGGTTGATGCGTTTTGCAGGCAGGTATTCACGACGCCTTGGCCGCGTGCCCCCGCCTCTGCATCTGCGGGGACCTGGGGAGATAGCATGGCCCCAGCCACGACGCCCCCCCGGGTGATCGCCCCCCTTTTTGGAGCGCCCGACGGGTTCCCGTCGCCGGCACGCAGAGAGACGCCCAAGTTCAACGTCAACGGGCCCCAGCGCGGTCAGTCCGCACTGACGAGCCAGGTCGTATCGGCAGCGGCCAAGTGCCGCAGGCAACAGAACGTTCCGGACCCAGTAATTAACACCTGAGGTTCGGCATTTGCACGGAGCCGGTCAATGAAGCTTCCCGGACGCTGCGTCAAGGAATGACCGCGACTCTGCGCAGCAATCCCCGTCTAGGCCCAGGACCCCCAAAGTTCGCTGCCCTCGCCACGCAGCAGATGACTGGGCGCTCGCGGCGGCCCCGTAGGCGGCATTCGCGCCCCGGCGCGCGAACGGATCTTGGCGCGCGGGGAATCGTTCACTGCTTCTTGCCGTGGACGGCCCTCACCTGGGCTCGCGCTTCTGGAGCTTCTGGGGGGAAAAAACATGAACCTAAACTTTTGGCGCTCCGCGCCGATGGAACTGCGCTGGGCCCCTCTCTCCGGCGCGCGGAGCGCGCCGAGGGCGGCGCTGGAAGCACCGCCAGGGGGGGGCCCAGCGCGGATCCAAGAAATCCGCGCGGAGCGCCAAAAGTTTATGTTCGTAGCGTTTTTCTGATTCGATCACTGCTTCTTGCCACGGACGGCCCTCGCTTGGGCTCGCGCTTCCTCTCCCGAGGACGGCACCGCCTCGGCCCCGCTGTGCGCGGGCTCGGGGGTCTATGCCTGCCCTTCGCACTTGTTCTGCAAGTAAGCGGGGGCACCGACAAGCGCACTGGCCAGCACGCAGGAGGTGTGGCGTGGCCGAGGCGAGTCCGTTCCTGCTTGCCCACCCGCCTGCGCCCTCCTCATCCGCTTGCACCACGATGTTGCCGAGGTGCGCGCGTCTCAGGAGGTGCCGCTGCCTGCCTCTTGCCGGTGGGCGAATGGCGAGGCGGACCGCATCGATGACCCCTGCAGCTTGGACAGCCGGGCCTGCCTGCGGGAGGAGGGAGATGCACGGACAGGGCGGCCGCGGAGCGGCCCGCCCTTTGCGCGCGACGGCGGAGAGAGCGGGCGCCCGTGGCCCGGGCCCCCCCCGCCGAGGAGCAAACCCCCCGCTCACAGTAGGTCGGGCATGTCCTCCTGCAGGCAAGTGCCGGACGAAGAATTTACAACATAGTCCTAAAAACAAAAGAACACATCAGGACACATGCTCCACTTAGTCGTCCCTGGAGCATTTCTCGCACTATTCTTGAATATTCCTCCTTTAGATGGACATGCCCGACCTGACGCCAACACCCAAGCCAGCAGCACCGCTGCCGCCATGCTCTGCGGGCCCCGAGCGCGCCGCCGCCGACGAAGCCCCGGCGGGTGGTCACCGCACGTGACCCGGACCCCCTCGCGCCGTGAAGAAAGATCACGGCGGGAGGATGTTCTGCATTTTCGGCCTCGCGGGGCCCCGACCGGGCCCCGGGACCGTCAGAAAACGGCTCAGGACGAAACACCGGTCTTGGGGAAGGGGCCCAGCCCTCTGCGGGGGTCGACGCTGCGAAAAAGAAAACACGTCGCCGGGGGTCCGGGGGCCCGTGGGCACGTCGGCGACGGCGAGGGCAGGAGTGCCAGCGTGCATCCGGGGCAGCTCGGCGCAGCAGCCCGGGTGGCGAGGCCCCTGGCAGGGGAGCCTAGAGAGCCGAATCGAGAGACCGGAGCGGCGGTCGAGACGTAGCGGATCGGCGGAAATCGGCAGCCGAGTCGGGAGAAGCCGAATCGGCGGACCTCGGCAGGCCAGTAGGCCTCCATGGAGCCATCGGAGCCCAAATCGAAATCCGAAGTCGAATCGAATCGGAATCGGAAGCCATCGAAATCGAGTCGGCTCGAATCGGAAGCATCGAAATCGAGCCCTGCCCTGGAGACGCCGCGGGCCGGCTCGTCCGCTGCCCGGCGGAGGCCGCCCCGAGCAAAACAGTTATCACGGAGAGCGACGTGCGTGGAGGCGAGCTGTGCTGGAAACGCAGAAACCAACACGGCTGGTCAGCACGGCCCAAATTGTTTTTGCGGGGAGTTGGCGAAGCAGAGGAACGGAGATGGGCAAAGCTTGTTCGAAGAAGAAGAAGAAGAAGCTGGTGGCCGTAGGAGGGACGGGCTGTGGGTGAAGAGCGAGCTTGAGCCCAGCGGCTAGCAGACACAAGCGATCAGCAGCCGGCAACACCAGATGCGCCAGACCCGCATATCTGTCCTGTCATTACCGCGCGCGCACGGACGTCCTGGTCCATACGCCTTCCCTCTTCCTCCTTCTCTTCCTCCTTTAGTTTCACATGTGCGTGTTGTTGCTGCTGCTGCTCATAATCCTCCTCAGCATGCTTCTCCTGCTGGTAGTGTTTCTTCCATTCTTGTCATTGCCGCTGAGTTCACTCCTCCTCGACCTCCTCCTGGTCGTCCTTCCCCCCGTTCCCTTCCTTGTTACCCTCTTCCTCCTCCTCCTCCTCCACCACGACCTGCGTCTCGGTCTCGTCCACGATACGCTCCACGAACTCGAAAGATCGCAGGAAGCTGTTCAGCACCTGGAGCACTTGTCTTCCCGCACCGCGCCCCGACAAACCCAACACAACCGCGGGCATCTGCGACCATCCCTGGCAGGGCCCAGGGCGAAAGGAGGAGCGAGAGAGAGAGAGAGAGACAGAAAAAGGGAGGGGTAGGATGCAGGGGTGGAGGAGGGAAGGAAGAATGCAGGCACGAACGAGAAAGAGAGAGAGAGAGAGAAAGAGAGAGAGAGAGAGATACACGTGTGTATATATATATATATATATGAACAAACAACTAGAGAGATAGAGGGAAACAGAGAGAGAGAGAGAGAAAGATGGTAACGGGGAAGGGTCGGACGGAGGGAGAGATGAGAACGAGATGCAAGCAGGCAGGATGAAAGAGGGATGGAGGATTGAGTGAAGAATGAGCGAGAGAGGGAGGCAAGGAGGGAGGGAGGGAGGAGGCGGGAGGAGAGGGAGATTGGAGCGATAGGGGGAGGGATGGGCAGGTTAGGAAGGGAGCAGAAGGGAGCGAGAGAGGGGGGGGTCACCTCGGTACTAGGGATGGTCAGAGGAGGGAGAGATGGAGGGGCGAAGGGAGAGGCAGAGAGGAAGGTCGCCAGAGCTCTCTGATTACAAGAGGTACCTGGTGGCCTCTGTAGGCGGCTACTTGTTGCGGTCGTTGTGGGGGGAGGACTCCTACAACATCCGCCGCACGTCATCCTTTTCTTCGCGCTCCACTTGTATTCCTCATCGCTGTCGTCCTCCTCCTCCTCCTCCGCTGCCTCCTCCTCCGCCTCCTCCTCCTGATGCTCATCTTAGCGCATGGCGTCCTCCTCCTTCTCCTCCTCCTCCTCCTACTACTACTACAACTGCTACTACTACTGCTACTACTACTGCTTCTACTACTACTACTACTACTACTACTACTACTACTACTACTACTACTACTACTACTACTACTACTACTACTACTACTACTACTACTACTACTACTACTACTACTACTACTACTACTACTACCACCACTACTACTACTACTACTACTACTACTACTACTACTACTACTAATACTACTACAACTACTACTACTACTACTACTACTACTACTACTACTACTACTACTACTACTACTACTACTACTACTACTACTACTACTACTACTACTACTACTA